AAAATTGAAATATGGATCAAATTGCGACCACGATCTATTTCATAGTTGGAATGTTTTTTTGTTTTTTTTTTTTTAGCGTTTTTTTTTCTGGAAAGATCACAATAAAATCTATGAGTACTTCAATTTTTAGGTTTTTCCATGCATTCTTCTGAGCGCGAAAACTCATTGAATTTGGAGTACTTTTGCAGTTGGCCCACACATGGCTGAGTGGAAAAAATAAAAAATGTGCCGAATCGGCAGACGATTATTCGCGGTCGAAATGATTTTTGAAAATGTTTTATTATTTTTCCTGGAAAGAACATGACCTCATCTATGGATTCTCAAAATTTCATATTTTTCTGCAGGTTCCTCTGTGCATAGAAAATTGTCAAAATTACCTCTTGCAAAACGTATGTTTTCTTACGCCTGACCTCCCTGTTTTGATAAGACGGGCCTCAACGCCTGGGCCTGAGGGCCGTTTTGCGGTTCACATGCCCTCACTTCTTTTTAGGGTCCGGTTCCACCCGAGGACCGGTCCAACACCTCCCACTTTTTGGGGGGGGGCGCTTCCACTTGAGGACCGGTCCTTCCTTTTTTCCAAAAGTCTCGGTTCTACCAGAGCTAGATGTAGGTAGTCTGCAATTTTGCCAAGGACTGGTCCCCCAAATTGTTTTGCCCCCTAAGAACCCAGTTTGTGTTCTGGTCACCCGCCGCCAAAATACAACACCTTGACACAGGCGTCAAAACCCACTATACCGCTTAGGGCTGTGAACTACCCTAGAAACTCCATCATATACGTAGACGCGGACCAGAAAGGCCTAGAAAGGTTTCAGAAAGTTCTTGGAGCTCCCACAAACCCTGTTTGATCGGGTTGGAAAGGAATAGAGGGTCGTTTCTACATGGGCCGCGCCCAGGGTCCCCCTAAAAATAATTGGCGAGGCCGTCGTGGATGACCAAACGGGAAGGGTAGGGTGACCGAAGGCCTTCCGTCGCAAACGGAAGAAACGGTAGGCGGACAAACGATGACGTTCGTTGGTCCATGACGCTCGGCGGTGTGGACCACACGAATTTCAAAAAATGTCACACGATTCTCAAGCACGATACTCGTCGGTACTGGCATCCGTTGTAGTGTGTCTCGGTCTTCGTAACGGCCAACGATGGCATCAGGGCATCGCATTGGTCGTTGGCACCAGGGCATCGCAGCACTCGAAGAAGGAATGGGCAACGGTTATGTGGTGGTGACCGTTTGTTACGAAGAAGACGAACGGTGAGCACATGAACGGTACAGGGACAGTCGGTCGATGGCTTTCGTGAGGGTCGGTCATCCGCTTGATATATTGTGATGATGATGAGGAAGTGGTGCTTCCTAGGTTTGGATAAGGGGAGGAAGGTCTGCAGGCGAGCATATTCGTTTCGTCAACCAGTTCGTCTTCATCACCCTCTCTCAACACCCTCCTCTCCCACATCTCTCGCGAGACAGGAGGTGCTGCCATGTACCGGTACACCATCAAAGGTGGGTGTTTGGGGACGAGTAGCTTGTTGGTGTCCTGTGAAGTGTAGTGCTCTTCTCCCATGTCTGTCACCCCATGGTTTCCCCTCACTCGTAGTGCAGCAGTGGACGTTGTGAAGGAAGGCAACAACAAAGGGCTTCCATTGCCAGCCGCCCGCACGTCGCTATTGTCGAGTCGGAACTGGATCCACCCCCAGGAGGTCCGAAGGGTGGAGGATGTTGACTGCCACATGTCGCATTCTCGTTGGTGGCAGAACGTGTACGATCGTAAGTTTTTTTTTTTCTATGGGGAAGGTGGTTGTTGTTGAACAGAGGTCGTCCAAGCTTGATCTTTGCGTGACCTTTACAACATTGGCAGCAGTTGCATTCGTGATGTCAGTTGTGTTTTTGCTTTCCATTTTGGGCGTCATCATTTATATTGTCGCTCTCCTCATCGTCACCTGCCTTCTCCGAAAATGAGCGTCCACATCCATGGATCAGCAACATTGGTTGCGTCAGCCTCAACAACAGTTGTCTTCATCACTGGACTCTTTTATGGAAGATCGACATGTCGGGTATGCGGCCGATCGACCTTCGCATGCAATGTTTGAGTCGTTGCTTCCACGTGAGTACAACTCCGTGGCATGGGGTTCATTGTTCGCAAGCTCCTTTCCACCCCTCCCTTCGTGGAGATAACCCCATCGACACCTAGGGCTACATGCAAGGCAGCGTTCGCCAACCGAATGTCCCAGTTTCGTCCTTCGTGAGCACTGGATATGGCGTTGCAGGGGGGCAGGCCCGAGGGAGCCTCCAACATGGTGGCATGCAGCAAGTCCAGGCGCCTCGTCCTTCACAGTTCCGATTGGCCATGCCATCACCGTTTTTGTCAGCAAGTATGCAGTCGTGTGTCACCAGCTCTGACGTTGAACAACGACCATCTGCTCCTCGAGCGTCTAGCGGCATTGCAGGTGCAGTTGTGGCGCAGATGGAAATGTCATCCACTCCCGTTCCACCCATGAGCATTTCTAATGCACCGTCGTCACCCCCGACATTTCCAACTGCTTCGAGATCGGAGGAGGAGCCCTCTACGATAACGGATGGTCCTGCGTGCGAGGCCGACGCAGGGAAAACTCCGAACAAGCCATCAAAGAAGGCGTCTCGGCCATGGTTCCCGAATGAGCAAGTGGCTTTGGCAAGGTTGTTTGGTGAAGACGACGCGCTATGTGCCTCTGCTTCGGGTCCCCACAAGTGTATGGAGCGGCAGGACCAGTTGGAGTGGATATCCAAGAAGATGAGGGAGGAGGGGTACAAACGCAGTAGTGAAGACGGCAGGAAAAAATTGACATCTTTGATGAAGAAAGTGAAGGAGATCAATGACAAATGTGGGAGATCAGGCGGTGAGAGCTATTGGGAGATGACGAAAGAGAAGCGACGGGAAGCCAGTGTCTACCCTGCCTTCGACAAGGTGCTTTGGGATGCTATGGCTTGGGTAATGACGAAACCGTCGATGACATATGATAACACCTTGTCTTCTGACAACATGCACTTACCGAATGACGACTTGGCATCTGGAAGGACCGGGGGTGGTGAAGGTAGCTCATCGGGCGGCGCCAAAAGGGGGAGGACTGCTCGGGATGCGTTGGAGGGATCGAACAGCGACATGCGAGCGAAGAGAAGTGTGTCGGGCAGGTAGAGAGAGAGAGAGAGAGATGGGACTGATGAATCAACCCAGTCTCTCTCCACAACTATGCGGGAGTCGACAACGACATACTGCCAGGGGTTGGATCAGGACGTATGCAGACGCGCAAGTGCTGGCATGAAAGGAACCGAGATTGTGGGTGGGCGGATAGGGGAGATGGCATGAAAGATCGGGGTTGTGGCCGATGCAATGGTGGGTGGAAATGCGGTGCTTGCTCAACTTGGGGGGGTCATGGCAGCTCAGAGCCAAGGAAGTCGACGGGGGGACAATTTTGAGTTCGGGGGGCGGGCGCATTTCGTCTGGTGGGGAGTTTTTTTGGGGGGGTGGTTGGATCAAGGGATCAAATATTATTTGTCCCTGACGTGACAAAGCGCGTGTAAAATTCTTGTCCGTCACATCATGGGCGACGTTACACTTCCATGCAGTCCTATTTTTCCTTTCATTTTGCGTGGCCGGTTTATCTTGTGCGCATCGAACTTCGTTCCCTGCACACATCGAAGGAATGAAAAAACAAAAGAAGAGCAGAAAGAAAAATAAAAATACATGGTCGTGGGTGGTGAATGATGTTCGCGCGGGTCTGTGCTAGTATTTAAATTGACGGTGGCGACCTGTCAATCAATGTTTTGTCACTTTGCCGTCGTTGGTGGATCATCGTCCACGGTTGGTGGTTCCGCACTTCTCGTGTTCCCTTGCCACCCGTGGAAGGGATCGCCCATTTCGCTGCATCGCTCTATGCTGCTCTTACAGTGCTTGATCAA